GTGCTTGTGGTGTTCGGCCAATCACAATGCACTGGGTCAGCTGGCCAATCAGAGCAGACTGCGCTTGTCGGAAGGAGGGACTTTGTAGAAAACGAAGCGTTTGAGAGAGGCGGGGCATAGAGGACCTACAATAATGTACAGTATTTGAAAAATAATGTGTTTTTTGAACATTAAAGCATGTCAACATATTCTGTTACACCAAATACACAAAATAATGATATTTAAAAAAGCATCATATGACCCCTTTAAAACAAATGACAGTGTGGTCAACTGCATCAGAAAAGTGGAGGATGAGAGTAAATAAAATTTTTGGACGATGAATTGTCACGTTTTTGTCTTACGATTCTGATTGCATGTGGCTTTTACTAACTAGAGCACAGAAATGTTGTATTGGTTTAAGTAGAGACACTTATATCATTTATAAATGCCACTTTTTCCTTTAATCTATAGTTGTTTTGTTTTTCAATTAGTGGATTTATCAAGCAGTTGATAGAAATCGACAGGGGCTTCTCATTCCCCGGCTCTGTATGGATGGTAAACTCTTTGAAGCTGTCTGCTGTAATACTTCGTCCATGTCGGGGCATGCTTTCCATGTTGTTTCATGTTTCTGAATGAGTTCAGAAAGGGACATCATCATCATCCTACACTCACAAAGTCTCGTAAGTTCAGTTAACCGCAGCAATCCTTCCTGCTGAGGTCATTCAGCATCTCCTCACAGGGTTTTAGAGTGTATTTGATCAACCTGCTTGCTGAAGGAATGCTATTAGGATTGGGATTTTCCTAGAAGATGCACAGAGAAGCTTGTGTATATTATGAGATTTATTTGCCAAACCAAATGATAGGAATTCAGCATTACTCAATTCTCGGAAATGTAACGCCCCTTACCATAATCACGAGCTTCAGCTTTCAAAATAAATGTGATTCCTAAATGCATCTACTTCTGGAAGGCCAAATAAAGTGCTTTTGCTTTTGCCTAGAAACACACAGCGTCTCCCTGACATGGCTGCTTCAACACTAACTGCGGTTACTGAAACCACGCCTTCTTTCTTTGCGTGAACATTTGGGCGGCATTACGCAAATATTTCCACATAGTGAGGTAGATATGTGGGGGCGTGTTAGAACGAGCCGTTTTAGGGGGGTGTGGCAGAGTCTTAACTTTGATAAAGAATATCTCTTTGGTTTTGAGACTTTAGTCTTTGCAACTTCAGGGATCTTATCTATGCACAATCACCTTGTAACACTCCAAAGAGAAAGGAAAACTTGAAATCGCATCAACTAGAGTACAAACATGAAGGGACCATGAAGGGACATATCCAAAACAACCATTCTGAGATCCATAGAAGTAGAAAGCACTTTTATTGTAAGAAAGAAAAAAAAAGATGTTTTTGTTATTCTTCGAATAGACATTCTGGTATGTCAGATTGTACCACTTTATCAAAGGATGCATACTTCATTGGCAGCTGTTACAAGATTTAGTGTCTTTTTGTTGAAGAAGGACTCAAAAGTTGTTAATAAGACCAATTTTCACATATTTGAAAGTTCCTGGTTCAATCTTCACATTTAATAGCTGTGAACTGCTCATCTCTGCTTGTTTTCAGAAATGTTAACATCGCAGGTGTTCGCTCCAAAAGCACTTAGTCCATCAGATATAATGAGAAGAGTTAAGCAACATTCAAGACCGCTTTTCTGAAGCTTATTATATCTCTAGGATAGGAAGACCTATTAATCATTTCATTTTATAACTATTTTAGCTGGCTCATGTGGATGAATGGCTCACTGTCATTCTGGAATTCTCGAGAATCAGTAATGAATCACATAAAGGAGGTCTGAATTTGTTTTCTGTTCCAGATGTGCATTAATGATTACATTTGTGTAGATTATGTTGAGAAGGAATGTGTTCATACCAAGATGAATTGTGAGCAGTCTGTTTAATCGTACGTTTACGTTTATATATATATATATATATATATATATTTACAATTTTTACATTCAATATTTAATTGTGCATGCTCATTTCTCAATGTTTTACATTTCAATTACCTTCTAAAGCTCACAAGTTAATCATTAAACACTAATCATTTAATAACACTGTTAAATGTAATCAAAATGAATATAAATATGTGGTGATTCCTAAATGAACTTGCATTTAAATAAATCATTTTTAGTGTTTAGAGTTGTTTTTTTTTAGACAAAATAGTATTGAAATTTAATATCACTTGTCGGCTATAACCTGAAAATAATTATCAATGTATTGCTATGGGACAGAATGTTAGAATTGGTGCATCCATAATAAATATGTTGCATTTTAGATAGTTTCTGTTGGCTGATGAGGCAAGAAAATTCTTACAATTAATTTACCTAAAAGTGTCTACGATGTATCTTGATGATTATTAGAGCATTACATCATTATCTTAGCAACATGCTAATGTCAAACTCTTTCGGAATCAATTGTGGCAATGTAGTGGTCAAGTCAGAAACTTATGAGGTTCCTTCCAGTTAGGATGCTGCCTTAAACGGTCACTTGTATAGTAGAGAGAATGGCAACCCACTAGATTTTCATACAGAGGCATAAATGTTAATAATATTTAAATCAGTTAGTCCTTGGTAAACATAAATAGTAGCTATACAACTG